CTGCTCGGCACAGCTCCCATCGCTGCAATGAACGTCAAAATGAAGCAGCCCAAAATGCTCTTGGAACTTACAAGTACGGTGTTGTCCCTTAATTGAAATGGGAAACGCTCATCATGAAAGGGAATTTGCGACAGAGATACGAACTGCGGTTCCCAATTCGAGCGATCATATCTGAAAATAATATTGAACATTTTTCATCGTCGATATATGCCTAATTGGAAAAACTCACTTTTGATCCCTAGCGAATAAACCGTCATCTGTTTCATTCTTTGAAAACCACTCATCTAGTCCATTTATGTCATGTGCTCCTGAATTGGAACCTAAGTAAGGAGTGGGCGAACCAGAAGAATGAACAGCTTAGCACATCGAAGCATAATTCGTGCAATAGATGTGAGTGAGGTGGTCTGTTGTAACCCCAAGCGTTGATTAGTGAGAGCGAGGAGGGCGCCTATGGTTTAGTGACGGCTCGAGATTGCACCAGAGCAACTCTTCCATCGCGACTATACCTATAGATCTACAGGGTGGGCCCAAATTATCAGGACAAAAATATTGCGTTGTCAAAAACGTATGGTAGCCTGAAGGAACAAACAAACATTAGAAAAGAGTTTGGCACTTATGTCACAAATTAAAACCACATTGATTGAGACCACCCACCTACTGCATTCACTAGGCCTGGAAATGGAGAGGATGACGAGTGCGATGGCACGCAACTAAGACGCGTCAAAATACTTCCAGGCTTTGCCTTTTTCGGTGAAACTTCCAATTTGGGGGGGGGGGGGTGGGGGAGAGGGGCACTCCATTCAGCTCCCCATTCTGAGGACGATGATAGGTGCTCCATTCAGCTCCCCATTCTGATGACGATGATAGGTTGTTTCCATGACATATTCACGTCACCGATTTATTTATTTTATTTATTTATTTTAATTTATTTAAAAATATTTCTTGTAATGACCGGTGTAGTGTGGAAGTACTCCTAGGGTGCTACCAGATTTCGGCCTGCTGTGATCAAGGTCCTGAACTAGGGTGTGGGCATCCTTTCCTAGGCGCGAGGGTGTAGCAGCCCAAGATGCACATACTAGGGCCTACACCGGGGTCCTTACAAAAAGCGCATTTGAAATGAGTTGTGTACCTATTCTATTTATCCACTAGGTAAGAATCCAGAGAAGTGCTCTCTAGTACCACGGATAAGATATCAGGGAAAGGCCCCATCAACTCGACTTTCATCGCCTTTTTCAGAGGATGAAAGCTTTTTGGGATTTTCATTTCCGCCTGCCTTCAGGGTGTACCATACAGGAAGATCAGAAAAATCAGGTAGGCACTTCCTAGGTAGCGATTCAACGAAAGCGATGAACTCGAGGAATCGCTTACGAAGAAATCGCTTAACGAAGAATTGTTACCTAGGAACTCTACAGAATTTTTGTTTCATGATTGAAGGCTCTGTCTTGTATGTTTCAAGTAGAGTACTTGAATGGCTTTCCATCCATGACAGAGGTAAGGTATAAAAAATGTCCAGTTGGTTTTTTGAATCAATTTTTTTCATTTTGGGGGTACGAAAGTCGACAAGGGGAGACCTAGTTTCTGCATCTGATAATTGTCCTGGTGGTAACTGTAACTTTCGAGTCCCGAATTTTCCATCTGTGGTGGTTCCAAACTTATTGAAGAGTTGAACTGTTGCCCATAAGAGCTTCTCTGATGGTTGAACTGCCGCTAGATGTAGCGTGCCAGAACCCCTAGGGAGGATTGGCGTATGATGTAATTATTTCACAAATTTTGACAGCTGCGGGATATTTGGTTTCAAAAAGAAATGGAGCTTGAACCATATTACATAGAGCACAAAAAGGAGATGAAATTGGAGCGACTTCGGAAGAATGATTAATTGACCGCGCAAACACAGTCATCGTAATTTTCCCCACCCTGCATATTGCCCAGGCGGGCTACCGTCACGAGTTCCTCGATTGTAGGTCATACTTGTTTTGGTGAGAGGAGGGTGTTGTGACTGGGATTTGAGGGATGGTCGAGATTCTATATTTGGTGGTTGGGCACAGGGAGTGTGGCTAGGAAAAAAAAGAGGCTCCAAAATTTCATAAATACGTGGCTCACCCTGCAGATCGCTCATTTTTTTTGCCGAAAGGCTCTCAGCTGAACAAGAGCACTTGTTGTTTGAAATAGTAATTATTGTAGGTCGAAGACTCTGTCACAGTACCAATTCGAGTCAGCTACAAAAAAATAATGACAGAAAATGAGCACTACCTGGATAGTACTTCGAATGGAAAACCACAGCTTTGTTTGCCTTGAATAGCTTGTATAGATCGGACTTGTTACGAGGTAGTCTGAATGAGGAGGTTTAAAAACTTCAGATGTCACAAGATTCAGTTTACTTTCCTGACCATGGGCTAGGAACACCTCTAGTACGCTTCAAAGCAACGACCCCACATGAGGACGTGTGGAAGAATCTGTTCTGTGAGTGGGATAGAGTAGCTCACGTATCACAGATGTGCCGTTGCCGCGGCTCGAAAGTGCGCGACAATGGCGCTAGGCCTTACAAAGTGATCTGATGGGGACTAATGTGAACTTACGGACCAGATACTTCTTCGCACTCGCCCTCACGCAACGTGGATCACGACGTAGCGAATACGATAGCCGATAGGTGCCCTCTTTTTCGAGAGACGCGGAGTGCATCGAGTGCAGGCCACACACCAAAGTGACGACACGTTCGAAAAAGAAACGGTTTTCTTTTCTTGCTCGTCGTCACTTGCGGTGTGTGGTCTGTACTCGACGCTCTTCTCGTCTTCTGAAACAGAGGGTAGATAGATATGGAAGCCTCATCGCACTGATGCGGTTACGTTCCAAAAACTCGTCTGTCATTCAAGATCACTAAGCGATAGGTCGTGAGGACGCTTCGATTGTTTGTGCTAATAGACAACCGCAGAAGACGCTTGGAAGAATAGAGGCCTTGTTCTTGCACTTAGGATTTTCCTTTCTTTCAGCTATTTCCCTTCCACGCTAGCATGTACATGTTCACATTTTCAAATGACGTTCCATTCTCGGTTTGTCACAGTAGCGTCTCCTGATAAATTACCGTCCCGGGCCGTGCACTGCCCCACTCGCTTATGGAAGTACAAGGGGGATGTGAACAATGCGAAGTTTTTCAATACGCTTCTGGGATGCGCCCCCCCCCCCCTTTACATCCCCCTTCCGTTTGGAAAGTTCGTATAACTTTGAAAAGGTGGATATACATACAGTAGCGGTCAAAAGTTTGGAAACTTTTTTATTTTTGATCTAGCGTAGCCAATAGACAATGAAATTGCCCCGAATTCACATATTATATTCAGAATCTAGTGTAGATTACGATGGGTAACATGATTTTTTTGAAAACTGAAATCGCATTTGAAAAATACGAATTTTTATAGGAAATGGCGCGTCAAAAGTTTGGAAACTTCCGAATTCTAAAGCGAATTCGGCAAAATAGCTCTCAAATCCACATGATAAATTAGTTATTTGATGAGTAGCTTTAAATTTCTATCTTAGCGTCGTTTTTATTGACATGGTATTGATTATAAAATAATTTTAGGATTTTTAAGTCGGACCTCATACACTGTGAACTAAAGCACATTGTTTGGGGATTCTTAACTGGAACGTGGGTAGAGCGACATGCCACTTTTTCCGTGAGATGTAGAACTCAATTAGACTTCAGATCTTGACTTGGTCGCTTCATAGCAGCTCCTTTTTCTGGGTTGAGGAAGGCGGCAGTGGGGAGGTAGGCCTGCATCGGGTTATTTCCGTAATAGAAAACCCATCTTTTCCGGCTAGTTCTGACTATCTAAGGTAAGCATTGTATTCTACAGACTATACTTGTACTTAGCCCAACCCACATTTCGCTGGATACCTAGAACTGTGGAATCGCCGAATGGTCGGACACATGTTCATCCATGACAGTACTTCCACTATTTCTGACTGTTGGAATCTCATACTCAAAATGAGGTTCCCATTTGACAAAACACTTCACAGGGTCCACTATATTATTTCTAGGAAGATAGAAATCTCATTCGTCGCTGAGGACAAAGTTTCACCTCTTGGCCTCCGGTTCATGTTAGCCGTTAGAGTGCGGAAGCCAGTTGGGCCATCCTGCTCTTGAAGCCCAACAATGGCTTCTTGCTGGGACATCATCCGTAATATTCACCAGGTCGCGGCCGATGTTGTGCTGCACTTGGACTTTCATATGATTAGAGGAAAACTGGAAAAAGTTGTCTCTCACTTGGGAATGTCGGGGGCACGGGACGTGCCAACCACCCTCCGAAGTATTTGAGGAGGGCCAATTTTCTTGTGAGGATACTTTTTTGTGAATGATCATTCTTCTTATGCTTGCTCGACTCCAACAAAGCCAGAAACATTCGATGCTATTACTTCCTTAGAGATTGAACTACTAAGAAACCATTTCAATTTCGTATTCCGTATTGTAGGGTTCAAGAAAGGACTTCCCATGGAAAAACTGCTTCCTTTGCATATGAATTCATTTCGAAATTACACATTGCTCAATAGTTTAACTAAAATTAACAAAAACAAGTGAACATCGAAGTGTAGGAATCATACTGATAAGGGAAACAAAAAGTTTCCAAACTTTTGACGCGCCATTACTTGAAAAAAATCTTATTTCTCAAATATGATTATAGGTTTTTGGAAATTGTTCTTCCCGTCGTATTCTGAACTCGATTTTGTATGGAATATCTAAATTTGGGACAATTTCGTTGTGTATCGGCCGCGCTAGATCAAAAATAAAAAAGTTTCCAAACTTTTGACCGCTACTGTATGTAGAATCTGACGCCGAACCCTGCGCATAAGAAATGGCACCACACCACCTCCCATAATGCGGTTCACAATAAGAGCACGTCGACTTGATTGCCAGGTAACGGCCCCCAAAATGCAATATGCAGTAGCTTTCACAAAGGAACTTACTCTTTGACCTTGTCATCGACCTCAAATATTCGATAAGCGAGCAACGTCCGTGGCTGCTCTCTGAGTCTCCAAGATGCAATAGATCTCACGCTGGCCTCGAACCCTGCGAATAATGCATTGATCTGAGTAGCGCAAAAGAAAAAGCTCCCGAAAATAAGATACCTTCGCTGAAGAGATGCTCGTAATCAGTGATAACGATGTACTTCGAGGAGGAAAACTGTAAGTAAAATTGGGCGACAATAATTCCGAATTAACACTGGGTCTTATTTGAAGGAAATTTTGCAAGAATTTAAGAAGGGACCTCTGTTTTTCGAAGGTAAAAACTGCCGCTGGAAGCAGGGTGAATAACGGTCGAGGAAATCCTCGACCATAGCTCTCTACCATGCGAGAGTAGTGCCGAGAGTGAACATCCGCGCGGAGAGCACAGACGGCACGGCATGGCGAGTGTGAATGTCCGCGCGAGAGATCGTCTCTGATCGGGCAGAGAATCCTCGACGTGCCGTTGAGGAATCCTCAAGCGATATTCACCCTGGCTTAAAGGAATCTTCCGCGGAAAAAGCTCCGCCTCCATTACCACAGAAAAACGATACCTTAGGCCCCTAGCCTCATGAGCATAGCAAAAAGAACGGAACATAAGCGTTAGTTTCGATAATACTAATCCTACACACAAGACAAAATGATCACTCTTTCCGTGGAAGATTCCTTTAAGGTATCGTTTTCTGTGGTAATGAGGGCGGAGCTTTTTCCGTGGAAGGATTCCTTTAAATGCAAAGGAATTGCTACATTGAAGGACTTAGTGAAGCACCCTTGCCAAGGATTCCCAAGAAAGCTTGCTACCGTCGAAGAGTATACTGTGCGACTATGAGCTAAAGGCGGCTTCATCTAACAACCTGTCAGCTTTCCTACGATGAACAATTTAGGCAGTGATTACGACGACTGTAGGGCGGTGGGATTTGATGACGTCATTGAGACGTCATTGGTGGAAGGACGTCATGGAAGCGGTACAACCACACCCCCCAGAACGCCGATGGGTCTGGCCCACCAATGACTTCCAATGCTCATCAGTCGTAGGCGGGCTCCCAGCCATTGTGATCACTGCCCTGAACCCGTTGCATACGGCGGAGCGTTTCTTTTTTGCTGGCTGACGCGTGGCCGGTGCGTGTTTACACTTGCCGCCGCATGCTGCGCGATAAATATAACTATTTTATTTATATCAAGCTGTCCCATTATATAAACACCGCACATATATTTTTGTGTATTTTTTAAATGTTATTTCATGTACATATTTGATAAGCGGAAATAACTATTATCACATGGTAAAGGTGGCAGGGTAATTAAAATTGCGCCATTGGAAATGTATATTGAAGAAGGAAAGGATAAGGGAAGGTTTCTTCAAGTGGTTTAGGTGAAGCCACCTCTATTTTCCAGATGTTCAAAGCCACCGCTGGCCGATTTTTTTGCAGCACTTTGTCAAAAAACTCAGGAGTCTGTCAGTGACATTTTTGGGCAGGGCCCGACAGGAGAATTGCGCGACGTGAAAGCAGAGACGCAGACAGGTCAGCGGACGAGTTGCAGCGCGTGCTGTAACGAATTGGCGTCAAGTTGAATGCTTTGATCGTCCTCCAACCCGTCTGCGTCTCTGCCTTCTCGCCGCGTGACGGGCCTCCTGTCGGGTACACAAATTTTTTCACAGCAAGAATCATACTAATTTGGAACTATTTATATCCTTACTGGATTAGAGCATGAGAAAGTGTCGAATATATTTAAGAATGCGGTGTTGCACCATGTTTCAGTACACGATACGCAATGGGTTTTCGATGTTGTGGAGATATAGTGAGTATAGCGTAGCCTGCTCCAAATTGCACTTTCCAAGCCCTAACTACTTTACTACCAGGCCACCCTCCACATTCAGAAGAGAAAAGGTACACTGATTTTCTTGTAAGGATCAATCGAAAGCGTCATACCATTCTAGCGACATTCCTCGCAATATTCACTGGATAGTTAGCAATTTGATTGACGGTAGCTTTGCGGTTCTTGCAATCGGACTCAGTAGATGACATCGGCAGTATCGACGGGATAGTACAGTTGGTTGAGAGACTTTCGTGGAAAATAATGTGAGCGCGGAGATAGTGCGCCACTGCCGTGTATTCCTCACGGATTTTCTCCAGCTAAACACGAGCACACCGTTATTTCGCGAAATATCAAGTACACCCCAAACTCCACTCACAAATTCAACAACGCAACGGTATTGGTTGATGGATCGTAGCACAATCGTCACCGAGACGGGACCATTCCAAATCGCTACCTGAATTTCCCATTACAAACAAAACTGGAAACACCCACTGCTTCCGAAAAGAGAAGCGCGTCGAGTGCAGACCACACACCACAAGTGACGACGGCCTCCAAGTAAATCTGGTTACTTGGTTCATAGTGATAGCTGATAGTTGGTAAATGATAGTTGTAATTAGTGACAACTGATAGAATACAACTGCAACAGGCTAATCATTTCATTGGCAGAAAACATTTACATTTTGTGGAGGCCGTCGTCACTTGTGGTGTGTGGTCTGCACCCGACACTCTTCTGGTTTTTGAAACAGCGTATGTATACTCGATATCCGAAAGTTGGGGTAGGCGTGTCACCGGAAGTGACGTGCACTTGATAGAAGCTATGTGGATAAGCTGCTTCCAACATACATCGCTGGATATCAGCAAAGCATGCTGGCAACAGCTTATCCACGCAACTTCTATCAAGTGCACGTCACTTCCGGTGACACGCCTACCCCAACTTTCGGATATCGACTGTAGTAGTCTGCGAAGTTGATTAGGTACCTGTTGGACGATCCGCTGATCTAGAACTTCCGCGCTCACGTGCAGGATTTGCGCGATTCGTTCGAAATCTGTGAACATCGGCTCAATGATGTCATAGTGCACACAGTAACTGTGGTAAAGTACCGAAGGGAACGAAACTGGCACATAGCTGAAATGGGCATGGTTTCATAAGTGATTCACGAAGTTTTGTTTACAAAGCTGGGAATTTGTTGTTAAGAACAGTCACGAGTAATTGTCATTACAAAAAAGCATTAATATCACACTGATCGTATATAGATGCGATGTTAAGAAGCTCAAAGGGATGCGTCACAAATGCGACTTCACCTAGAAGTCAAAGGGGTGCTTACGCAACAATTTGCTAACATGTTAATAATTCAAGCTTTTAAAAGGCAAAGACAAGTCCAACTTAAAGCAGTAACTCCAAGGGCTGGAAGGGTTACAAACCACAGGATTTCGCTAACAGTTAAAGCGTAAAACGAAACCACCAAACCTCAAACACTGTAGTATACAAATGGTACACTCAATGTTATCAAAGGCAGTGATTGCGATAACGTGGAACCGAGGAAGTATATGCGCTAGCGGAAACAGTAGGCGGATGGCAAAAGAGAAGAGGTGAGGCGTTCCCGCAGCGGACGGTAAGCTATTTGCAGCGCAGTAACGTTTCAAACCTAAAAGCCGTACCGCCCCAAAACCGCTCCGCCTACCCATGTGCTGCCACAACGGCATCGTTTGCTCTCCATATTGAAAAACCATTTCACTGCAAGCAACCTTATCTCCTATAGTTAGTTTGTCTGTGTAATGCGTTTTCAATCAAAGCATGCTCTTTATTGCTGGTCAGTGCGTTTAACCTCTTTCTTGGTTAGTGGCTCGCCCAGAGCCGAAAATCAACTGGTTAAACAAAGGGTCCCTTTTCAAAAGTCCCTGATGTAGTTTTCTGCTTTTTCCCCATTGGCTCACCATATAGCACCGCTCCTCCCTTCTGAGCCCACTCAGAACCTATCGTAATCGCTGTCTTCAAAGAAAGCGATCACTATGGGTGCGCTTCTTCCCGAAGGTGTGGTAGTTTGTAACGGGTAACATTTAAAAAAACAGCTCCATTGGAGTTCATCTTCCACAAATGTTAAGATTGACTCGAAGGTCTTGCAAAAGCATTTTGCTCAATGATCGTTTGCTCTTCAATGAAGCTGGGCTCCCTAATACGCGTTCAAATCGACCAAAGCCATCCTGGGCGCTCACTTCCCGGGCCACTGGAGCAAGGAATTGTGACCTTCTTCCTCTCAGGCCCTTAACCCGATGGACTCCTCTATGTGAGGATGTTGTAGAGCAAGACCTCATAAGACTTCTCCAGCTCGCTCTGAAGTTAGCGCTTCAGAAGAGGTGGGACGACATCGCCGTTGGCTACCTGCGGCGCACTGCTGATTTTGTCGTTGGACGTCAGAAGGCCTCTCTCAAAGCAGAGTCGTCAAATTCAAAGCACCTTCTGCACAAGTGATCAAATAGCTTAACTCTATCTTTGTGTGAAGTCGGTTTCCTGATCGAGTCTCTTTCTTGGCTTTTACACACAAAAACATGGCGTCCTATACTTTTCGGCCACCCTGCATTGCACATTAGGACC